ATATCAATAAATAACTCCATCAACTGGTCAGGGTTATCCCAAAGACTTAAATGTTGAAGTGGTGAAGGTAGTGGATGTTTTAAAGGAGCTTGAGTTTATATACCAAACACAGTATAATTTTCTTGTCTTTTTTTCACATGCCCATTTTTCAAAATTTCTTTGTTATTTAGAAAGAAAGGCTATTTTTGTTCTCGAGCCTTTAAGACTGCTATATATAAACTATCTGTTCTGATTGGCTGCCCTGCATTCTGCCTCATCCGAAAAGCAGTCCAAGCTGAAACACTGCATTGATTTTTTTGAGATTTCTACATAATTAAATGATTAAGATGTGGACAAAGTCATGAAGAATGGTCTGTTATTACAAAAAATGGTTATGAATACACTGGTGCCTGAGTTGTGATAGTTTTGTGAGGTTTTGGCTTAAAACGTGTTTTTTTAAATACATTCATAGCAGGGAGGTATATGCAGGACGTTGCAAGGCTCTGCACTGGTTTCTGTCACCACCACTGGAAGGAAAACAGAGTCAATAAGTTCCTCTACAATGAACCATTTCACATCAAACCACTTTAAATAACTTTGATCTGAGCCATTGAATTATGCAGAATTTTTGAAAAGCTGGTGGAATTCCCCTTGAACATCAGTATAAATGGACAGGGTGAAGATGCTGTAAGCTGATGGATGGATGTGTAGTAATGTGATGGTTTTTGTGAATTAATTATTCACAAAAAACAGTGAATTTGTTTTTACAGCTTACTTTCCATATACAGATTGTATGGACTGAGGAGTAAACAGTGTGTTTTGAAATGTTTACATATTAGATCAAAGCAAACTCTTTAATTTCTAAAAAGTGAGGAAAAAACAGTTTCCCATGATATGGGCTAGTTAAAACATAAGGTTGGATCCATGCTGGCCCAGTGTACACTGGGGACCACTAAAGTAGACAATCTAGATGAATATGGCACTTAATTGTATATAGGGCTGTGAAGCCAGCTGGTGTTTCTCCTTGCTAGTGTGCACTGAAGCAATCCAAGGAAAGCGAGTACCCACTGCTACAATAAGGTAGTCTTAATGTGTCCATTAGCATATCGGTGATGTATGGGCTGTTATATGAGGAATGGAATGAACTGCATTTGACTGGAGGAAAAAAAGAAATGTTAAAAGAGTGCAATTATTTCAGTAAATGAATATGACAAGGGAATGATGAGTTGTATTTGAAACATTATCGCTTCTCAGAAATTCATTACAGTGTCACTCGCTGCCTAAGCAACACAGTCATCTGGAGACGGAGGCTAATAATAGGATGTCTCGTGGAAATGACTCAAGGCAATCTGTTTCTTTTAGCCATGGACACAAGTGGACACAAGCTATATTCAACCTTTTGCACTTGGCTGCAAAGGCCCACTCTGGATCCAGATTTTTTTTTACCTTCTATTAAAATCCTACCAAGCATTATCAAAATAAATGCTCATTGCAAAGGGGTCCTGTATTTATGCCTGAAGTAAAGCACGATCACCAGTTTCTTTCTCTTTTTCTTTACTATAAAGAGTTTCATTTGTTACACTCTTAAGACAAACACTATTAGCACTTTAGGCCCTGGTTATACAGATCCAAATTTAACCTACAGTGATTGATTAGATTTCAATTTGTTATGTAAATACATACTAATATGCATACTAATATAACGCATAAAAAGTTACCTTTCAAATCAGTTTAAGTAAACTGTGGTGTAATATTTGTACATAATAGTAAATAACTAGTCTCAATTTGCTCATAGAATAATATTAAACACCTGACAGACTGACCAGGAGAGGGGGCCAAAGTCCTGCGGCAACGCCTCTTCTGCTGTTTTTTTGAAGCACTTTCAAATCACAAGGCATAGCCAGGAGGATTATACACTAGTGTTAGTTGATTATTTGCACATAAATATACATTTTTCAGGAACTCTTTTACACAATAGTGCATTTTTTCTGTGATGAATACAAACTTTGTTGATCTGTTTACCTCAAAGCTATAGGTTATTGATTATCAAAGATAATTCCATTTAGGTTGTGAAAGGTTATGGAGTTTTTCTGCATTTCAATCAACTGGTTACAAACAATGCTAGAATAGACAATCCCCAAAGAATCTGGTAAATCTGGTTCTTCATGTCACTGCTGGTTTTTGCATTCAACTGCTCTACTCAACAAGCCACTGTCGCCATTGTTTCACTAAAATCTCTGATCGTGACTTTAATAATGTAAAGTAATAATAACTGGTTATTTGACAGTAAAACCATATGTGTTGGAATTATTATGAGGACTCTTTATAAAGTCATTGACAAGACTGGTATTGATGGCACCTTTTAATGGGCTCATATTATAAAAAAGTTTTCCTTTACTGTTTTTGAAATAAAAGACTTTAATGTAGTATGTTATCATTGCTCATACTCATGAATTAGGTCTGTTTTCTCTACACATAGAATTCAAATTAAAACTTTCATCTGTCTTTTTGTTCGCCCTGTATCAGCTGACACTGTAAAAGTGTGTTTAAGTATAGGGCACTGTCAGGGTTGGGATGTAATGGAATACCAGTATTTGGAATACATATATTATTCTTATTATATAATATTATATATAATGTTATACGTACATTATATGTACACCGATCAGGCATAACATTATGACCACCTCCTTGTTGTTCATTGTCCTTTTTATCAGCTCCACTTACTATATAGGTGCACTTTGTAGTTCTACAATTACAGACTGTAGTCCATCTGTTTCTCTGCATACTTTGTTAGCCCCCTTTTACCCTGTTCTTCGGTGGTCAGGACCCCCATGGACCCTCACAGAGCAGGTACTGTTTGGGTGGTGTATCATTCTCAGCACTGCAGTAACACTGACATGGTGGTGGTGTGTTAGTGTGTGTTGCGCTGGTCTGAGTGGATCAGACACAGCAGTGCTGCTGGAGTTTTTAAACACCTCAGTGTCACTGCTGGACCAACAGTGTCCTGTGGGCAGCATCCTGTGACCACCAGTGAAGGACTAGAGGATGGTCAACACAAACTGTGCAGCAGCAGATGAGCTATCGTCTCTGACTTTACATGTACAAGGTGGACTGACAAGGTAGGAGTGTCTATTAGAGTGGACAGTGAGTGGACACAGTGACCACTCAAGAACAGGGTAAAAGGGGCTAACAAAGTATGCAGAGAAACAGATGGACTACAGTCTGTAATTGTAGAACTATAAAGTGCACCTATATAGTAAGTGAAGCTGATAAAATGGACAATGAGCGTAGAAACAAGGAGGTGGTCATAATGTTATGCCTGATCGGTGTATTTATGCACCATGTTTCAAAGAAATACCATCAATGCTTGTTTATTAACTATTTTGAAATCAGCAGACAGCATGTAAACACATACTGTAAAGAAGAACTTGAAAAATGGCTTCTTTACAAACACTGAAGTTCCTTCTAAAGCCTGAGTAGACTGATAAATCACTACGACGAGCCACTTTAATCTGAGTGTTAGTAGGGATGACTGAACAGAGTGAACATGTTCACGAGTGATAATCTCAGCTTTGGCACTGTACGGGACTTGTGTATGCACTCTTTGGCAAGTTACATACCTATCATTAACTGAAAATTACACAGCTACTCATTTTATAGTCAAATTTGTGAGTTTTTGTTATTGGAGTATAACAAATGTTCGGCTTAGGTTATAAAAGGGCAGTGTGATTATGGGAGCAGCAGTGGAAGCAGGCAACGAGAGCCTAAATAATGTTGAGAGTTTTGTATTCATTTTTGAATTCATTTGAATAATTGAATTCTTCATGAAACATGTTATCGGAAGAATTATTATAACAAAACTGCCAACCAGTAACAGAACAGTGAATTAAATAAAAACTACAGCAGTTTTCCCCAAGTACTGTATCAATACATATTCTAAATGTATTCTAAATATGTTATTTTTATGTACTGTAATGGACCGTGATACTGAATACATTTAGGACAGTGTATTCGGTATTCAGCCAACACTACTTTTTTTAATGCATTTTGCCCAACCCTGTGTACTGTAGTGTAGTTTGTTGTCCTCCAGAGGTCAGCTAGCGTCCACTGAAATAATACTTCCTGTAGAATCTGGTAGCTCACTTAGTTAGTCTACAGATTTTGCTGAGATCCAAGGCACAGAGAGATGACAGCATCACATCTGTACCACAACCATCCACAGTTTTAATGAAGGGTCATCATTAATTACAGTATTTAATAGGTAAATTTTACTAGGTCTGTACTGCTCTAAAAATAGATTTCAGTGGTAAACATTACAAAATGTTGGAGTGCGTCCTCATATCTCAGTGTCATGATACCCTGGAGATCATGCCTAAAATAACCTATATGAATACAGTTCAGTCTGGTAGTGGGCAATTTATCATCTATACCAGTGTACAGTGATACTGACATACTGCAATGTATATAAGAGATAATGAACCTTATGAATGATCTGTTATAATAGATAATGAACCTTTTGTCTGTGTGCCCATTGCCAAGCACTTTGTTGTTTATTTATTTATTTATTTGTTTATTTTTAAATCTCTTTTGTCTGTTTTTGGTGTCCAAGTCCTGACAATTAACTGCAAATTGCCATTTTCTGGGTGCTTCAGATTATTTTGAAGAAACTGTTTAAAAGGCATTAAACTGTAAATAAACAGTAAGTAAGTAACGTGCTTCCAGTCTGTGTTCTCTTTGGGGTAATTTTAGGAGAAGAAAACAGAAAAAGACCAACTGATTAAAGTATGTCAGCTTTGTCAGACATTATTAATACTAACGTAAATATGATATATATTTGGAAAACATTATGGTGCTGAACACTCAATGTCGTTCAGACCTGCTGGTAGCGATCACTTTTGAAACGTAGGAACAGCCAATAATCACAGAGAAATCTACTAGCCTGCGCATTTTGGCGCACCTTTGAGTCTGTTGAGGACCTGATCGGATCTAACCAATCACAGACAGCGGCAAAGTGAAAATGGGCGGAGCGAAGCCTTTATGGCGCACTAATGCCGCTCATTTATTTCAAAACACCGTTTTTCTTTAATGTAAGAGATTCATAACCGGCTGGCGCTCAGATCAGGTGGCCGGACAGCGTTTCCTTTCTGCAGTTTTAAACGTTAAAGCTTGCCAGATCAGACAGAAGGAACGATGACTTCGGCATCAACAAAGGTACCTCCGCAGAACAGCTAGTGCAGCTAGGCGCTGTTAGCCAGCCAGCCGACTCCGGAACTCGGGGTCGATATAACGTTAACTTTAACAAACATTAGCTGGTTAAATAGCGCACAAAATACGGTTTAAATTCTACCTCTTACAGGCTTCTCCTCACTCAGAAAGAAAGAGTGCTAACTAATCTAATGGTTCTCCTTGTTTGGCTCAAGTTCCAGCTAGCTGGCTAATGTTTAGCCTGATTTCTGTCCCCATCAGTGAGCAGCTCACACAGTGTTATCACCAGTACAGCTTCCCTCAAGAGTGATTTTTCTGTGTCTAGGTTGGTGAGATCTTCTCTGCAGCAGGAGCTGCTTTTACTAAACTAGGGGAGCTCACCATGCAGCTGCATCCAGTGGCTGACTCTAGTCCAGCAGGGTAAGCCGGAGTCTCTCCCTGTGGAGGCAGAACTGTTTCCCTACTATGTTTTCATTTTGTGGAGCAGATGAACTCGGGTACCAACATATATTTGTTTTTTTGTCCTTTTCATTGAAAATAAATGAAGCTATAGATATGCCTAGCATTCGTAAACACTTGTATTTTACATTCTACTGCTGAGCGTTTTTGATAAAATTCATAATCATGATATATGGAGAAAATTAATAATGGATAGAGTTAATGAACCCATTACTTAATACTGGAACTCTGTGCTAATGGATGTTTTACAAATCTGGCACAGCTTTTATTGATTTGACCATTTTATTCAGTTTTCTTCTATTACTATTGGTGTTTTTACCAACAGGGACCCCACTTTATGTAATGTCAGAGAACATTATCATGGAGATTATATTTATTGATCAGTACTGCTGAAAGTAAAAGTAAGCTTTGTTTGACACTAATACCAATATAGACACCACTGCCCAGCACTTAATACATTCTCCATATTTTAATTTGGTAACAGTGAATTATCAGTCATTTTAACACAGTTTTGATAGCCTTGATTGTTTTTTGTTTTCTCTTGAATTTCTCAAAGACCTATGGAAAATTCAACTGTCAATCCTGTCTCAGATGTTTAAGGTGTTAAAATCAATTGAAAGGTTGTGATATTTGACCTTGTATGACATCCGTTTTACTAATTTCTAAGGCCATTTTGTGCAGAACAAAACTGGCTGAGATTTGATCTTTAGTCAGAGTGAAGCTTAGTCACACTATGGGACCTGTGCCTTGGTTGCTGTCTTCTTGCAGAGCTAAGTGGACGGACACTGAGATTGAGATGCTCCGGTCGGCTGTTAGGCGCTTTGGTGACGACTTGAACGCGCTCAGCTCGGTCATCAAGAAGCGCACAGTGTAAGGAATCAGGTCTCCCTCTCTGGCTTATTTCCTGTGCAGGGCCTGACTGTACTTGGCTCAGTTACAGTTCAGATTTAGGCTCATATCTCAGGTGTAGTGGATTCTGTAGTTTCTGTAGGTTCACTGCTGGAATTCACAAGGCTGCATGTTCATGTAGGACGGAATGTTAAATTTGGATGGAAATGTGTCAATGTGTGGTTTGGATATTGTGGTATTCTTTGCGGAAATTCAAGAGAAACAAAAATTCTAACTCAGGCTTGCTTGATGTGGTATTTAACCATGTTTTGTGTGATAGACACTTGTAATTTAAGATGGTTTTGGGTTGAAATCTTTAAAAAAAAAATTATAGTCTGCTTTGTATGTCCAAAGTACAAATTTAACTGAATCTCTTATAATTAGGGCACAGATCAAGACCACAGTCAAGAGGAAGCTGTATGAAGACAGTGGAGTTCCCTTGTCTTCTGATTCACCAAAGAAAAGCACCAAAAAGCTACAAGTTGCTGTTGCTCCCCCTCCACCACCTACAGTCATAGCTGTGCCAACTTCTCAGGTTGTAGTAACGACAAGCTTACAGGGAGCATCCTCAGGCCCAGCCAGCATTAAGAAGCCAAAGACATCAGGTGAGCTATTTTTGCATTTCAGACGTGAATGTGGAATAATTTGCCTCTTCTCAAATGTTATGATAATCACATTGAGACAATGTATGTGGTTATGGTTCACAGAGGTTACGCTTAGTGCTTTGAATGACTCGGATGTGAATAGCGACCTGGTAGACATAGAGGGACTTGGTGACAGCTCTGCAGCGAAAAAACTCAATTTCGATCAAGGTATGAAAATGTTTTGTGTTTGTGTTGATCAAAATAAGAACAGAAGTAGGGAGCTATATTTGCTCATTTGAGTTTTTATATATATACAATCTAATGACATTCATTTTCAGTATTTCTCTTTTTTAGAAATGTTGACAGTTATCAGTGTATAATTAGTCTTATAGATGCTTTGTAAATGCTTTGTTTCAAGTGACATTTACTGTGCTGTTCAGTCACATTTGTGCATAAGTAGTACTAAGTTGGTGGTCATTTTTGTCCTACAGAAAGCCTAAATCTTGACTCCAGTCTCATCATGAACTCCAGTGATCTGCCTCTCCTATCCCGCTGAACCTGGCTCACCTCTAATAAATATCAGCCGGAAACAAAAGTAACTCGCATCACTTCAGAATGGACTGTTTCTACTGAAAGTACTCTGTAGCCCAAGGAACTGTCTCTTGGGCCTTCCACCTTTTCATAGACTGAGCCTAAATTCGAATTCTAGTTTGGATGCAAGGTCTAATATGTAAGCTAGATGGAGGGCTCAATTCATATTACATTCTTCCCTTTGGTCTCAACTCCTTGGTTTCAAGTTTGCTGAAATACAAATAGGACAGTAAAATGTCTATGTACAGTTTTATTACTAAACGATATGGCCAGAAGTGCTTCAGGAACCTCTTCTATGCCATTATATTTCATATGTGTATTATAAATTCATATTAAATGTTTTATTTCCCCATTAATGCACTTTTTATTGTAACATTTGTTTCCATCAGAACACTCTGTCCATGAAAAGCTATATTTTGTATTTTCCTTTTGTGTTAAGTGGGGCTTACATAAGCTTATTTAATGCAAATTTGTAATCTTTTTTAATTTGTAGGCAGAACGCATGCAGATTTGTTCCATAAGATGACAAGAGTACACTGTAACACTTTTGTTTGTTTTTTAATATTTGTAGTTTTATAAAGGTGCTCAGTTTACAGGCTGTCATCAGTGCATGTTTGTGAGGACTCTTTTGTGAGCTGCAATAACTTTTTGTGGCAAACTATGCCATGTTTCCAAACATTTAATTTGTTGGTATGAGCTAATCCCATATTTCCCAACTGCAGGTTTGGAGGCCTACCTGCATTGCAGGGGTGTCAGATTCCAGCGCTGAAGGGCCAAGGCAGTGCAGAGTTTAGCATTCTACCTCATTCAACTCACTGGCTAATTAGCAAGGCCTTGTTGAGTTGAATCCTGTGTTAAAAGAGGGAAACACTGATCTCGGCAGAGCTGTGGCTCTCAAGGCCTTGAGTGCAACACCCCTGTTATAACGCAGTTTCATGCTTTCCCAACAGCAAGATAGTCATATTTTGCTATTAGCATTTTAAGAAGTACTTCTTGAGCTGAATCAGGTTTGCACTGCAGGTGATTCTCTAGGACCGGGCTTGGAAATCTGAGCTCAGTCTGGGTCAATGAAGAACTTTATTTGTAATCTAATATTAAATTATACAACTTAACTGGACACAAATGTTACTCCATTCATTCGATGAAGTGTTTTTATTAAATGTCTATGTAATCACTAAAATGCTACATTAGAAAATTATACTTAAAAAATAGCAATACTCCCCAGTGATACATGCATAAAACAGTATTCCTAGAAACAAACACATCACTCCTAGTGAACCTTTATAAAGCCTCCTGTTTAAGTAAGAAATGGGTTAAAGTCTTAAGAACTTGTAATTTGTATGGCTTGTATTGCAGTGTGTTCCACACTGTATTTGACTTAGTGAGAATCCTCACAAATAATTCTGATCCCTTTATACTAGAAATAGATTATTCTTAAAGTGGGGAACATTTTATTCATAAAAGTAAAAAACAATTTCCATCTCTAAAATTTTGGGGAGTAGAGTGATTTTCCACTGAGACAGTTTATGAATACAGGCCCAGATCCACTTTTGCAACATTTGGCAAATAATGGTCAGTGAAAACTGCAGCTTTAGGCAGATCATTAGTATCACGTACACTTAAATTTAAAATAAATCATTTATCCCAGGCAAGTGAGCTCCAATTATTCCAGTTGAGTGGCACTGGTGTCATAAAATTAACCAGCAACCACAGCCTGTGTTGAGTGTAACTGAACAGTAAATGCTGAATGAGAGACCTCAACGTGGCAATTTTAATTAAAATTAATGTAACATTTTGTGCATTTAAAATGTGATCAACTGAAGGGAATGTTTATCTTTGGTGAAAAATGGAACTTCCTGTAAATTACACCTCCTGCAATATCTAGGCATCAAGTGTAGACACCAGTGTTGTTTCTGTAGGACACTCAAACAGAGCCACATTAATTCATATAAAGCATTCACAGAAGACATTACATCTCAGTTTATCATGGAAATATTTTTAAATAATCTTTAATAAACTACAAGCTATCAGTCCACAAGCAGAATCCACATGGTGATGGTGGGAAATAAATCTAAACTCCAGTAAGTTTTAAACATATTTTTGTTTATTGCCATATAAACAATGATTAAGCATATTTTTTTCCACAAAAGACAATAACGGGTCTTCTTTATTACAAAAAGCTGCAAAAGTAATCAGAGATTGTGCAGATATTGGCTGCACAATATTAAGACTAGGCAAGTGCAAAACCCACACATCTCTTATCAGCCTTCAAGTACATGCATTTGTCATGTTGATCTGTATTCAAGAGAGATGAAGAGTGCGTCTGTCTGACGGGAGCAGCACAAACCATACTGGCAACCCAGGGAGAGGGCAGCTGCCAATATTGATGTGCTGCTAGTGTCAGGCACACTGAGACAAAGCTGCAGTAATGAGAGTGTTGTCTGGAGAAGGCACAGAGAGGGAGAATATTACGAAAGATATTTCCCTCGTACAGCTCTAATAAAGATACAGGGCAGTACTCATTCAAATAAAGCTAGTCGGACTGTCACCGTTTTTTTTTTTTTCTCCAAAACAAGAGGGAACACGATTTCCTTCATAGAAAAAAGCTTCTTGATGTGGCTACTTCAGTTACACAAATTCAATATTCGTGCCATCTCTGGTCATTTGTCAAAACAAAATTTGCACTGGACAACAGATCAATGCAATTCCGTAATGCTTTGATAAGCATCTGCTGCAAATTCAGAACACAAGACAGCTGGGACAAACTCTCTTCAATAAAGGGTATGTGAATCTCTAATGCACTACATTATTTTAATAACCTACACCCCCAAGCCACCAAGACTCAGCCTACATTAGGAAAAGATGCCCATCACTGCATCTGCACAGGTGGAGAAGGACACAGAATGCTATCTGTTACTGTAGAACCACCAAGGCTCCCAGTAACAGCACAGAATGATTTGGAAATCTCATATGAACCTGCAAATCATGATGTGCTGCTGGAGGGTACTCTGGCTGAAAATGAAGAGGCTATGAGGGTAGAACGAGATGCTGGTGAGATGCTGGCTTTCCTTAAGAGAAAAGGAAAAGATTATTAAATATAGGCTTCTTTCCTGAAGAACAGTGTCTTCATTTGAGCTTTTTCATTTCAAGCATTACACATCAGCTTCACAGCTGAGCTAACTGAAGATGAGCATAATGGAGATAAGACAGACAGTTCTCGGTTAAAAAAAAATGCTTTACTGAATTAAAAAATTACATTAAACTAATATAAACATTTGACAAAATCAGTTACTCAAATCGCATTTTCAGATCACTATGAGGAGGCGTGTGGTCTTTTGTATCTTTCAAGGCCTATTACACTTAATAAGAAAGTGAGAATGTTCAAAAGGGAAACAAAATGGTGGATTCAGAGGGAAGAACAAGAAAATAAATGTAAAAATAGGGTCTATTTAAAAGGTTATTCTTTAAATAAATGTGTCTACTAAAAATGTTAAATGACAATACATTGATCAAAAACACAAAATAGTCCAGTTATTTAAAAAAAGTACAATAGTTCCAGAATTTTTAACCATGTAATTACCATAAATCCCCAAATTTGCCAATTTTATTTTTTGTTTTCTTAATGTATATCTTGTACCCTTCACCACTTCTGTTTTGTAATAAAATGTCATCTAATCATGTAACAGAGATATTGTAAAATATCATCTGATCTTGTCAATGAACAAGAAGGGAGGAAAAAAACAAGAGGGGGACAAAAAAAAACCACAAAACTTAGTTTTCCAAGAAAACCAAGCTTAATCAACATAGGAGAAAAATTTAGAAGATTACAAAAATACTACTCTCAGAAATAAGAGGGTAAACATCTGAGATGCAAAAACCTACATTAGAAGAAATAAAAAAAAAAAGAACTGAGATATCTAATTAATATTACACTAATGACTACAAGTAATCTACAAGTTATTTAACAAATTAGCAAGACAGTTGTAACAGAGCTTGGCATATTTTAAGTGACAAACAATGAGAACTGATTAGACTAAAAAAGAAAGGAGGGAGCAGGAAAAAAAAACAGCAGCATAGAAGGGAATCCCAAAGGTGTGACCTTGACAATGACACTCAATAGAGACGAACCTAACGGACATAAATTTGTTCACTAAAGTGGTTCTGAGTGACAGAACAGTCAGATCGAGAGGACTTTGTAACACTATTTATAACTACGAACAAATCGTTGAGGGAAAAAATGCAGGCCTACCACAAAGCCCTAAAAGACACTCATACACCATCACTGACACATTTGAATTGCACAGTAAACTAATTAAAGAGGAAAAGCATAATTCTCACTTACCAAAATGTTTGTTTTATTTAATTCTAAATTCATGAATGAGAATAAGACGGATTGTGACTGAAATATCTCTTGTTATCACAACTGTTGTAAGAAGTGTACCCGAAAATATTAATAATTTCCTCAATACACCACACTATGTGGTGTACCCAAGTCTTAATGATCCCGATGGCATTAAAAATATATTCACAATCATAATTCAAATTTGTGTAAGGCTACAAAAAATTTGTTAGTTTCATTTAATAAAAGTATAGAGACTCAATTATATTTTTTTATTAACATTAAAAAATCTTAAGCAACTACAAAGCTGCAAAGTCCAGCAACTACAGACCATCATCAATAGCGCATTAAAACATTAGTAAATTATAGACCAGTGTGAAGCTTAACCGTTACGTCTGATAAAAGGGCAGTCTCAATCAAATGATCACGTCAGCAGAGATGAAGAAGGCATTTATTTTCGTCTACTTCTGCCAGCTGTTCATCGGGAAAGAGAGAGACAGGAGAAAGTGCAAGAGAAAAGAAAAGAGTGAGATCAGGGAGGCAATAAAGGATAGAGAGAGAGACACTGAAAGACAGAAAGAGAGAGAGAGCGAGAGAGAGAGAAAGAGAGCAAGAGAGAGAGAGAATATGACAAAAAGGATAGACTGCAAATGGGTGGGGAGTGAGAGTGAGAGAGAGAGAGAGCAAGCTCGCACACACTCACACACGCCACACACACCCTGGCCTAACTTTGCTTACCCATTCAAACCAGGGGCCATTTTGGTTAAGCTTTGAAGCAGGCACAGAAAAAGAAATTCACTTACCCTCGATCCTTTTTCTTCAGCCTGTTAAGCAACAGGGAAGGGGTGAAGGTACTTCCAAAAGCAACCTCACCCAACACCCATCTTCCAATCAGTTCTGCACCTGGGTAGAAAGGAGAACAAAAACATTTTAAACCAACTAAATCCAATTAAGTTTAATATGCTTTAGTTTTCAGAAAAGCAAAACTGCCTTCAAAGAATTTTTTTGCCATCTTTCTTAAAACTAGGTTAAACACACCAAGTAAGTCTGTCAAATGCAAATATGCAAGTTCCTCAAAAATACACAACAAATTCAACAACTGAAATAGCTAGGTCATTTTAAACAAATTTGTAGCAGTAGAATTAAAAAGAAAACAAATCCACACATACACTTATCAATGGGCATTCCAAGTCTTAATTTGAGGTCAAAAATACACCCACTCATCTAAGCTTGGGGTTTCCATTCCAGGTTGGGGGCTTCCAGTAGTAAA